AGCTTCGACTAAGAGGTGTGTTATGTTAAGCTATTCTTCCCCTAAATGGTAGCAAGAAATAATAGGAACAGGGTATGTTCTGCCGAGTAGAAAGCATCGAAGGAAGTGAAAGAATCTAGTAGAAGTAACAAGTACGGACAACTGCTTTCTACTCATTGTGCGGTGCTCAATTCAAGAAGTAAAATGAAAAACAGTTGGGGCTAGCGATTGCCTTTAATGGCGCCCCGTACTGACTGCGTTGATCTTCTGACCCGGCAGCGTCGCGACAACGACCAAGCGACGAGCGAACGAGTGTTCTGCTTGCCGAAGCAAATGCCAGATGCCGAAAGAACAACCGCTACGAGGCGTTTGCCGTGAAACGAAAATTTAGAAAAGAACGATGCGATGTTCGCGGCCGTAGAAACTATTATAGTAGAGGTAGTATACGAAAAGCGGCTGTTTGAAGTGTTTGTGGTGGTACGTTTAGCCGTGCGGAATTTGAGTTCGACAGGCGCGTTGAGTATTGCAACCGCTTCCTATACTTGTTGCATTACGTCCACTGTGCCACCCTGCCACGAACAACAAAGCAGACGACGATACCGATGCTGATGATCCTTCTGCTGACATCGCTCATGATGGACTTGTTGTCGCCGATAGCTTGGAAACGGCCGGTGACAGCGATTTAACAGGAGATACTGAATAACTAGTGTAGCTAATACATGCCATAGCCATATCGATATGTGACGAGATGGCGGCATTCAGTATCCTCTCAGAAATGGATTCGTAGCATTGAAGATCATATGTAGCCAGACTAAAGACGCGAACTTCGACTAAGGGACAGGAATTTCTGACGCAAAGGTAACGTAACGAATATGGATAACGACGTTCATTTTTTTGTTTGGTGAAAAATAGAGCTTCCTACTATAACCCGTATGCTAATCTATATCTATATAGATATTATTTTCCCGATACTTAGGTCAGTCATGCGGACGATTTGCCTTGTTGGTGTCGGGGAAAACGTGTGAAAATGAAACTAAAAATCGATGAAATAATCGACTATACCGAGAGACGGTCAGAATTTCTCCAGTTTGCTATTAGAACCGTTGATCTGACCTATTCTGAAGCTATAAATAAATCAATATTCTACAGCTCGTGCGGCTTCTCGTCTCATCGGCTCGTCATAGCTAGATTCCTTTAACTTTCCTGTTTAATTAGCATGTTTTTCTAAGACTTACTTTCCTATCGCCATCTGCTGAGTAATATGGCACACAGCGCAGACGCAGTGCCGATACAGTTGCCAAGTATCTTTTTTCGCACACGTTATGCAATATGTGTCGTTGGCGGAAATTAATATACCCGGTAAACTAGATACATTTTCTGTAAATTTCCATTCTCAGTTTGCGCTTTCAGAATGAGAAGGAAAAGATGTGAGGATGCTTCTGGCATAAGCTAATTTCGGAGAAACCGCTTTACGGAGAATAGCACTTCTTACTCTCGCTTCCCTTTTATTTGAAATAACTGACGAAGTGATGACCAATACAGACCTACGCACGCAAACATAAACACACTCCTTTATCTCAGCTAAACTTTCACTGACTGTTTTCGGTGTGTGCTTTTTCATATGTTTGTACCATGCCATTCTGGTTCTTTCTCCAGCTGCTGCTTCTGCGTTTTCTGCCGACTTTTCTGGCGACGCCGAACTCGATGCTGCGACAGACGCTTTGGCCACCAGTAGCTCAGAAATGAATCGTAAACACACAAACATATACGGATATCGCAGCGATAGCGGTGAGCGACAGTGAAAGCACAGCAAGAGAGACCGAACGAAAGCGATGCTGCCATTCGTAGTCAGCACCAGGACGCTTGTAACGACGACAGCAGCGACGACGTCGACACACTTTTTTCAAAGGTCCGTCGGCATTCACAAGCCAAGCATCTAGTAGCTCGGTCGGTAATAAAACTAACCGAAAATATTGAATAGAATAGCGTCATCACGCTACACTCCCCACACGTGCACGGATCGCTTGCCTCTGTCAATGGCAGGAATACATGAACGTGGTAGAGATGGACACTGGAAAGCCAATGAAATACTGGACATGTAACAACATCGAGTATATACAATGATTAACTGAATTTATTAGGCCAACGGCCCTACACGCTTCTAGTTATATTCCGGTTCCTATTCAAAGGTACACACATAGAAGTGTACCTGGTTAAATGAAAATGCACTATCAAAATTTTCTACAGATAAGAAAATTCTTACTGACACATATCCGTAAATGTTCGAATCTGCTGTAACTAGTTCTCAGGGGCGGGGGTAGATGGACGAACTCTATGATTTTATGCGTCCGTCGCCTGTTTAAGTGTGTTCTGCATAATGGCAAGGGAGACCACCAAACCCTAAATCGTACGAGTGCACGGAAACGAATTTCCTGCTATGTTACAAGTATATTACTCAAGCTATCCCGGTGATTTCAAAAAGTAGGCGCAGTATATAGATTTATATAACTAGTCTATCAAAGTACTGACCTGCCAGGGCCATTCGCCCTCGGTAGCTGACGAACCTCCCACAATACGTTTGATGCGGTTTCGGGTTTTCTGATGAAGCGGCCTGCGGCCGCACTTCAGTCCAAAGTTGAAGTCATTCACGTTGAATACCACCGACTCGACGGTCGTCTTGAACAGTCGTGACGAGGTCGTCTGCGGAAGTTCCGTCACAGAAATGCCGATATCACGTTTGGTCACGTCAAGCACGAGAGAAATAGCTGGCTTAGACGTAAGAGGAAACGTCGCCGCAGTCTCTGTCTGAATATTGTTTTGGGTTGAGGCAGATCCAGCAGACATTATTGTGGCCACCTAAATCGTGTGAGCGATCCGAATGAACAAAGGGGTGCTCTAGAGGGTGACCCATTAAAGTTGATTAGAGCAATGAGCTTATCTAAGCGCGCACATATGATCGGGCTCACTGACAAGTTGGACTGATGAGATTCAAATTTGCAATTTCATTTGTATGTACAAAAGTACTCACATTTAATTGAGCTGGTGGCAGTGTTGTGATATTGCTTTGTTTGGTCGCCTCTGAAGTACTGCTTTCAAATTCTGTTCCTTCGGGCGGAGATTCGGACCGCGAAATTGTCGTATTTTTTGCAATTACTTCCAGCTTCGACTCGGGCTTGGTGACTCTTGGAACTCGTACCTCAAGAGTGTAGCTTGGAACACAAAGGGCGACGATAAGCGTCGCGGAGAACAACGTATGCTGCGGGCGCATCTTTGTTGATGCTCTCAGGATCCCTGCAGACAACAGGCGAACGCTGGTCACTGTGAAAGGAGCAAACGATAGAAAAAAAACTGGAAGATTGATTATTTTAGATGAAATTCCATGAAATCGTAATCTTTATAAGTGTCTCTTGTACCCCTAAGGAGTAATTCCCGACTGAATATTCAAATGAGAAATTTGAATTATAACTAGCTAATTTATAAAGAAATATTCATACTATGTTTATCTTGAAACATAACGTTTCATATATATATATAGATATCTATTATTTATCATCTATTGAGATTTATATATAAACGACAAAAATTATATAGGACAAAAGTCATCGATATTATCTGTTGTAGGAATACATTGTAATAACAGTTAACTATGAAGAAGAGTAAGCCTCGACCAACGTTCCGGTAGCAAAGCCCGATTTTTAGTGCTACCTACCGTCAATGGATTTTACATTTCTAAACGTATCCAACATACTGATTCACTTTGTTCTATCCATAGAAGACGCTACCGCTGATGCGACTTAAATAAAGAATAGGGTTAAATTATTAGTATATATAGCGTAAACAATAATTCTGCAACAGCAGTAACGACTCAAAATTATCGGCTAGTGGATACTTATTATATCAGCCATTGTGACGCTATTTGCGAAAGCGTATACGCTAGCTCACACTAACCAAGTATTGAATCTGAAAAAAAAAACAACAAAAAAAAATATCTGCGGATTACAGTAATTATTGCTGCTTTAATCGAAGTAATTAAGTTCAAAGTACGAATCAAGGATTATTGTCACAAAAAAAGAGCGGTACGTTTAATGATCCCTGGAAAAAAAAACTCACTTGGTCGTGTAGTCGCGTACGATAGCCTATTTCAATTAATGCCATTTTCTCAGACGGGAAAAAATTACAGGTGGAATAGTTTAACTAGCTAAATACTTTTTCAAGTAAGTAAAATAAAAACGGAGCCATTTTGGCATCCACTTTTAGAACGCAACTTAAATCCCTATCAAAAAAGAACATTCTGGCTAAGTCTTCACTTCCTTGGTACGCGCGAGAGTGATCGCCGCTACCGTATACTGTGATCTTAGCTATCTTAACAAGTGACAAAGTAGCTGAGCTTGGCCCCCAAACAGTTCGATTTGGTCGCTCTGACAACTGATATAAATGTTGCACCCTCTTTTCTTTGTCTTGAGATCGTCTGAGACGCTTTTGTCTGGGCCTGATTAACTGTTTCATCCGGAACGATGGTAATTAAATAAGTTAAACTAATTAGCGATACAATAATAACATATTTGAGCTAATGGCTTCAACAGACCTTACTCTCAAATCAGTAGATCTAAATTTCGAAACGCTTGAAAGCTACTATCATTGTGCCATTTAAGTTCTAATACACAAATAGCTTACATTTTTAAAATGGTTTTAAAAAAAAAACCTGCCGGTGCCTGTTCATAAATGCTATGACAAAACTATTTACTGTTATATGTCCGATGAAAGATAATAGTTTCGGACCAAATCTTGGTTATTTTAAGTGCGATCGAATAGAACGGACCCTCCTCCATCATCAGCAACTATCATTTATGGCCTTGCAGATCACTGGAAAAGTAACTGGGTTGCTCCCGCTGGGTAGACGAATCTCATCCCGTTCCCAAGCAAAAACGACCCCGATCCTCGTATCGATGTCGCTGTCAACGGATACGGTTAGGGTCACGTCATAGAGAAAGAAGGCGAGATTTCGCAGGCCCGCCAAGAACTACGAGATGTTTCATTACAAGGCGCTGTTAGTTCTTAGCTAGCCACGAAAGATTCACGATGAGCACAAATAAAGCAAGCTATGTAACCAAGGATGTCATATTAGCTGCTGTTCCTTACTCGTGTCTCGCCGTGATTAAGGACGCTTATGATATACCCACGTGAGCGTAATGCTGCATACGTGGACGATAGGTGTAATCACCCACGGTGCAGGCCAACTGATATGCACCAGCTCGTCCTTAAGAAGCGTATATGCCCTTTGTTTAATTGGTTAACATTGTCTGCTTCACTCCCGTCGAGGATGAAGGCTAACCGTCGTCGTCTTTAGCGGGCAATTTTCAATTTATCTAACGTTATGATAAATGACATAACTAATATTTAATTAGAGCTAAGCACTAGGTATTACAGGGTTGAAGCTTTACTTCTTTATTATGTTTTCGTTTTTTTGTTTATTATAAATACATACTTTAGTAAGTACTGAGGTTCGAATGTGTGCATGTAAACTACGAATACGTCATAATAAGCGTCTTATCAGAAACCTTAAATCGTCTTAATATCCATGATACAGTAAGATAAAATTTTAAAACATGTCTTAATTTTAGATATGTTGTGCAGAAACGTCACAGTCGTTATATGACTATGCACAAACGATGCATCTGCAGTAATTACGTAAGCGTCTGGTGGAATGAATTTCATTCAGTACCTACCTGTAGAGTGCCACGTATCAATTCAACTGGATTACGTATACCCTGGGGTACTGCTAGACAAGATCCTGTACTGAACCCTCGTTTTATCAAAAGGCACTGAGAATAAAAATGCAAGTGATTGATAGAAGACAGCGACATGGTTTGAACTGCCAATACAGATCTCTGCGTTGCTATAGCAGTCATAAACAATAGGTACGCAGGTTTCGCGCCATCGCGCCGGCTCGAAGCTCGACACTGGCGGATCTTAAGAAACTTCAGTCGAACCACGAGCTGCGTTCTTGGGCACATCGTCTTACCATCAGCATTCTCGTAGTAACGAAAACGAGCGCATTTCTTTCAGGTGGCATGAGCGTCAATCAAATGGACAACTATAAATAATTAAGAATAATTCACTTGGGTGGACGCCTGGGGAAGCAGAGAAACACGAGTCTTAGAAAAAGTTCAGTTCAGACTGTGTGAAAGATCGCCATTTTGAGCAACCCCTGTGGAAGAAAAATTTAACAGTGGAAGTCCGAGCTGAATTAGAGCGGTATAGTTAAAAAACATACACTTCCGCGCTGAGCGAGAGTAATCATAACTTCGTGGTATGACAAAGTTACATATAGGGTAATTGAGAAACCAGTTAAGACGAAAGCAGATTTTACTGTCATCGATGCTTAGCTATAGGAACCGTCTATGTTTAATGTATGCATGTCCGTTAATTTTCCCTATCGAGCTTCAACTCGATAGAACTCGGACCGCCTCAGTAATTAAGCAGTGCTTCTTGCCCGTAGTAAATAGCTGATTAGCTCTCCAACTATTGCTTACAAATTATTTTTTTAACTAATTAGGTTTTGTCACCCTAATTATATTGATCCTGAAGATTCCCATACGTTTTCTTAGGAGATATACTTTAGCTGACCTCGGATTCGACAGCACTTCAAAAAAAATACGAAGCTTTTTGAAGTGAGTAACTGAACTTCACAACGGATACATACTGCCTAGGATAACGTAGTGCGTAAAAGATACTAAAGAACGTTTTAAATACGTAGCCTTATTTTGCGTAAAAGAAGAAACTTCTATTTTCAGAAAATGTATAGGGGATATGCTCATTTAAAAAATAATATGATATATTTGCTTAAGTTCGCATGAGATTAAAAGTATTTAATAATGTCTCTATGGTCGTTGTAATTATTTCGATATCCAAACACCTAGTGACGATGAGTGTTGATTTTTTTTACTATAATAATTATTATTACCATTATAACATTGCATTCGACTCAGGAGTGTCCACGAATTATATGTAAATTAGAATGAAAAAGTTAATCGTCACACGATCACTGGCAGGATAGTAACAGGTGGGCCACTCTGGATAAGGACGTCCCTACCCATTATTATCAGTGGGTAGTTGATGGCCAGCTCGTAGTGGCTCTGTAGCAATGAATTTCGTAAAAATTTCAGCCAAAAACTGCTAGCTTTTTAACATAACGGACAGGTAAGTGTGCACCGCATTGTGCATGCTTGCTCATACCGCGCTGTGCAATAACAGCGTCATTAATGGCGGCCGATGTAACAGAGTTATGATAATGGTATCACATTTAGCCGGAAAGGTAAAGCAAACAAGGCGCTGGCGTGCGGAAGTCAACAATCGGTTACGGTCAAGACTCAAAAAAGGATCTGACAAAAGGTCAAAAACGGGTCCCGCTGGCCAGAAAGAGTCAATAGCAGACACTCTATTGGCATATGGCCAGATCTGCCAGTTGCCGCACCTCTGAACTTTTGCTGTGGCGATATTGAGCTAAACAAAGTTACACTTTGTTCAAGTTGCTGTTGCTGATGAAATGCAAAAAACTTGCTTCATCCTTCGGCTGCTATAAAATACCTATAAGTTGTCGTTTTTTTGACACATCTCAACGGCGGGAGTTTCGTCCGGGCGCTTCTTTGCCAACAGAATGCTCCCTGCTGCTCGATTGTTATCGTCGAGTCCGTTTAGTTCGGTAGCTTCCGAACTAACCGAAAATATTTTGTCAGCTTATGCAATAAAACCATGCGAAAGCATCTACTTTAGTTCAAAATGAAAGCGTTCTCAGTGATAAACCGGATCGGCAATAGGAACTTTGCGGTAGACCGTACATCCGTTCAGAGAGCATACAAGATCGATTTGTCAAAGTCGATGGAATTGAATTGTACGCTCGTTCGGAGCCGGCATTGAAAAATAAAAAGGACCCCTTGACGCCATAACCATTCCAAATAGTATACGGCTTTAGATAACGCCGCCACCTCTCCAGCTTAGTTGTAAAATCAATACAATTGATGATGATAATTGTTCATCTATGTAGCATCAAAAACTCAGTAAAAGTGCCATGCATTTCACTTTTGCCAACTTGGATAACTTGAGTGATTCTTTCCGAAAACTAAGCATCTAAACCATCTTATTAACAAAGGGCTAACTTTCAAGTAGTAAAAGCCATAGTCTGTTGATTGTGCTGCCCAGCTGTCGTCTAGCAGCAAAACCCCTTCAAAAACCTCACATACCCGTTTCGGCTGACTTTGCAACTTGTTAACATTATGAAGCATTTCAGACTTGAGTAACGGTATCCTTAAACTTACCTAATAAGCGTGAAGCATGGTTCCGATTGGGTCAGAACAGAGACAAAATAGTGGGTTTTGTTGAACCCGGTGTTGTACGATTCGCGGGCAGCGATATGCGAACTTTTTTGAAGAAACTTTATGCTGGAGTTGGTCCGATACATGGGCCTATCAGAACACAAGTACTTTCAAATTACTGTTAATGAGCTGAGCTAACGGAGGATCCAGTAATAACACTGCACTGAGCTTCACACAGGTCCAAATAGACGATAGCAAATCCACGGATGTGGCCTCTCGCTTTAAATGAATTAACCCGGGCACGTTGGGTCCTTTCTGTCAGCTGGACTCTGTTTTTATCGGTCGTATCCAAAGTGAAGATCCGTGAGATAAATGCTTCGCTCTTTGAGAGACTTCATACGCTTTCACAGATCACTCACAAGTCTTCCTTATCACTACAGGCCCTCATTATCACTTAGTTCACATCACGTCCATGCTATGGATGACAATGCGTACGAGTACCTAACTGCAAGTTTCGTTTCGCACGATGCATAATGTAGCCAACAGTCTATTCAGCGCGTACTATAAACGATCCGATCGTAATTTTATACTGTTTCGTTATATTGTACTCACATCTGTATCATTCGTGTTCCCACTATATGGGGAAAGTTTCGGGCTTCAGTGGGGTGTTTTGGCTCAAGGAACAGTATTTGTTCCCTTTTTTGTCCCTATGGTGTGAAGCCGTCAGCAAATTCAGCGCGGTTCCGCGACTACTGACAGCATGCCTTCCCCTGCGGCCGGGTGCTCCTCGGCGACGCCGGGCATGCCGCGCTTCCCAGCGTTTAAACCGCGGGAAAGGGCTCGCACACAGCTCTACAGCGTCGTCGCTGAAGTCGCGTCTGCTTCCATGATTGGACGACTGCCGGCTGCCTGGTAGTGATGACTCCGCATCAGAACTTCAGCCTCAATCGTATCAACCGCAGAGCTGCTCTATGTTAGGCCCAAGCCCAACAGACAGATGAAATCTGACAAAAAACGCTTAAGTCTCTTTGGTCCAATACACCACCCTTCCACCCTCAAATTGGCTGGCAGCGGGTGGCAGAGTGGGAACGAAATTTTACTATGACTACGAAGTGAATTAGTAAGCTTCTGCTTGTTCTTACGTATTTCACTGTCAGCGAATATTGATGACTTGAAACACTTTCTCGGATCGAGCTTGGCAATTTGAGATAATATGCTGGACGGGAGAATGCTGAAAGTTGTTGATACGATAGATGATAAAACAAGTTTCTCACATAGTCTTAACTTGAATGCAATGATACTGAATACTGAATGATCATTTTTGCCTCATTATCTATCGTAGACGCAATGTAGTCGACAACTGAAACTATCACCATAGTGCCTCGATCGAGATGTCTCGGAAGAGCTATCTAACTTTATATATACAATGGTTATTAGAGAATATCTTCTGCTACACACAACGTTCTCCATACAGCCGACATTTATAGGCCATCCGAACGACTAACAAGTCACAATGAAATATTACAGCCGATTGAAAAAAATAATCATATAATTACACAGAATAGTAATAGCCTCAGTTGAGCTAAATAGTGAATCGGTTGCAGTGTTAAAGTCTGTTAAGTGGCCAGGCATGGCTAAGTTGAGTATGCCAGAAAAGTTCGCGGGGCTAATTTCTACGAAGTGTGATGCCCTGTGAGCCTGACTGAAGTACAACCATTTCGGCTATTTAAGAACAGTGTTGCACAATACTACATTTTATAATGAATCTGTATTACGTTCAATATCTACTTCTAAGTGACAATACCACAGTTTTAACCAAGTGTAGGGGCAGGCCTATGCCCCTACACTTTGATTAAATTCATTTAATCACCGGCGATAATTAGAGATCTGTCTCTGCCAGTTACATTCGTATTCATATGCAGATTAATTAGCCCCATTTCGAAGAGTCCAAGAAAGCCAAATTCAATAAAAATTCATTGTAAATCAACTATATATGCGTGTCTAAAATTTGAATTAGTCAAGCGCCTTTTGATGTAACGCCATTATGTCACGGCGTATAGGGATCAAGCACTATTCAGCGCTACAATGCCTCCAATGCAGATGAAATAGGGAAAAAGACACGGCACAAAGCTTTCGCGTGACCACCAGCTGAACCGTTTGACGTTCGACGCCCAAAACCGACGATTCCGGTTTTTTCTTTAGGTGAAGACCGGCGCGGTCTCACCAACTGCTCTGCACCACCGTGTCGTCTATTGCAATGTGCTTGCTAGGGCCCACCACGTAATTCGGTTGCCCTTCAGTTTGGGGTGTCCGTTATATGTGCAATGACTCTTTTGTTCCTCACATTAGAAAAAAAAAGAGGACATTCGCAAGAGCCGCTTGTGAACGCAACCCAATGCCCCATAACGATCAGCTATCGAGATAGATGTCCAACTGTTGCCACTTAATGGATACACACGCACATATCAATACTTCATATATATATATATATATATATAGATATATACATGCACAAGAGAGCCAGGTATCGCCATTTGCACAGAACAGCCTCAGACTAAGCTTAATAAAATTGTAAGTTTCATCGGTATAACGGTGTTTGCTGCTTTCCATCCGTCATTTAGAGCCGCGCGACCGGAATTGAATTCAGGCGGCCGATGACACACAAACGTTCAATACAAAACTTCCACAAACGAATTAATTCGATTTTTTACGGTAAATAAAATATGAAATTTTTTCACGAAACGTTGCAAATTTCCACCACTGCTATCAACAATAACTGGAAGGTGCAGCGTTTGATACTTGCTGCTCGCCAGATGAACAACGTTAATGGTGCCGTTGGTGCTGCTAATTTATTCTTCAACTCAGGCTCGTTTACCCAGCTTTCAAATCTCGCGGGACACCAAAACTTTAGCCAGATCCCGCATATCAGTGCCTGCTATTCCATCTAGTTCGCTCCTTCGTGGAATCTAATGGAGGAGAAGTACAACGATATGTACGTACAGATATTCGTTAATGTTTTTCGTTTATAAAGTAGGAACAGCCCAGCGTAAAAACCCAGCGAAGCATGGGGATTAATGACGATCTCTAGATTCACTCAAGTGACTTGAATCATGTCTCTTTGGCGCTTCCGTAGCAGATCGAACAATAAACTTAAAGCAGAAGTGTTATATAACTTTACTGTCAACAACAGAATTTAGCTAGACAATAATAGTTAACATTGTTCCTTTACAAGTCGTGAGCGCTCGTCTCAAAAGATTTGAAACACAATTGGAAAACGTATTGTTTTCGCAGCAAACTCCTACGTGTATGAAAGCAGAAGAGTGATACGTCGACGATTTGCTCTCCAATGAATACTGTTAGTTGAATTTCAATAGAAACTTTGCAAATGTTAACTAAACAATCGTGTACATATAGGTTTACATATAGGAGCAACTAGAAGTTGAAAACAAAGTTAATCAATAGCGACGGATTAAAAAGATAACCATTTCCTGTAACTGCGTCGAAAATAACCGTCTGCGCATAATATAAAATCATTGATAAATATATTATTGAATTAGGCACTTCATTTCTTCATTAATAGCGACTGATTTCTAATACATGCAGAAAAAATGCCTTTTCTGCTCTACTATTTAGATATGGATATGTAGATGTTTATTAACAGAAAAAAAAACACGTTGAAACCATATATATATATATATATATCTATTCTTATTTTAACGTTCTGTCTAATGGAAATCCAACAAAGCTGTCATTGACAGATGTTGTTACAGGTAAAATAATGGTACGAGATCCATTTGCAATATGAACAAATATTTAGTTCAATTTTTATTAACCACACGTTTGCTCTCCGTTTTAATTCCATAAATTAAGCCTGTTTTTTCTCAGTGGTCAGTGCGTGGCGACATGGAGAAAGATAGCTCCGGCGCAATGATGAACCATTGCGTATGGCATGTAACCTAAATTTTTCTACGATTTATGCTCCTACAAAGTAGCTTGACCTGGCAAGTCAGGGTCGACATAAATATAGAACTTGGCTTCTTGTCGGCCCTGAAAATCGGTAACATGTCTCCATGACTTATCTGCTATGAGTTATCCTATGTGTAATCAGAAGTGCGTTCATTCTCTACATTATGACGGTTAACATGCGTAAAAAGGACAAGCTCTACAGGTAGCTTATTGTCCTTATCTCCATCTCAATGTTTTGCGAATTATATTATTAATTCTGCTAGGGTGGAGAGCTCTTGCGATGGAGTCATATAAATTTCTCGTTGTTGTCTTCGCTTGCGCATGCAGAAGAATTACTGCTATGGGACGGGACGCTTCAGCCTAATGCTTAGCCTGTGTAATACATGCGCCCCAATACAAGACAGAAGATCAAGTGTAACAAGTGTATGGTATGGACCAAGCAGATGATCGGCAGATGATTGTTTTGCTCAAAGAAAAAATGCATTGGCAACGTGCAAACTCGTAGCGTACGTGTGCATCTATTTATTTCTCATAGAAGGAGAAAGTAAAAATTAATTAACTCTCCTGGTCCCTACACTGTTTTTTTTTAGTCGCATTCAGGATATCTAAAGCCAGTTTGGCATATCGCTTCGTTTCCTGAGATGGTGTCCTTCGCCGTATACGTGAGCGGTAACAATTAGCCCCCAGAGGGTCATACATAGCAAATAGCATATCCCCCTCTCCTTCTTTGACTACCGCCCCCGACTAAACTTCTAGCTGAAACAATGCCTTGGTGCATACGGCTAGACGCTTAACATGTGCACCATTTAGACTTTTGTGGTACCTCTTATTACATCGGATCTCTCAACTGGCAACACCCGCTCGTCTGTTGACGGCTGAAGGAAAAGTATCCTTAGCGCTGAAGTGCAGTTGTGCGCGAAAACTCCCTGCCAAACAGCTTTTACTCAGTCCTTCCTAAAAACGAGACGAGTGATCTCAAAGTTAGCAAAAGTACCAATCTTATCGCTAGAAGCCTTTCAACAGACAGAAAAAGAAGGCCAATAAGTGGAAATACTTATGAGCCATATATATACAAGTTATACGGCCGAAAAAGCTGCTAATAAAGTGCGTACACTGTAGCAGCTTTTCTAATTGTAACTATATTTGTATGGTTCATAT